TCCCTCATCACCCCCCGCTTGCAGACCTATGCAGCACTCGTCAATCTTCTCCTCTTCAACGCTCTCTGCAATCTGGATGGGAGGCTGACAGCCACCTTCAAGCCTCCGGCATCCTTGACCACCATCCTCCCACCCACCTCGACCGTGTTGTACCAACCTGATCCCGGCGTGCCTTGGTTTGCGCTTCTGCTGGTGTCCGTCACTGTGCTTGCGACCATGGTGGTCTTGACCAAGTCGGTGTGGAACGGTACCGGTCCTCCTTCTCCTCCATGTTCCCTCGCCAGCGACGCGATTGACATCCGTGAGGTGGCTGACGCACAGAGCCAAGTTTATATGGTTCTCGTCGATACTCCACATCCTTTGCTGACGGTGTCCCCACCGCCGCCGCCACTTCCCACCATCGCCTCCGTCACGAGCATCAGCTCAGAAGAATGGTATACCACCCCCACTCCCTCTCCCCGTGGCTCCTCATCCCTACTTCGAACCGTCGAGCCCGATGAGGACTACTTCTACCTCCCGTCATTGCGGACTAGTTCGAGCTTTAGTTCGGATGACGCGTCCGAGCACTACACGACCGCTCTGTCTGAACCCTCGTTCCCTCAGCATATCTCTCCCCGTGGCTCCTCATCCCTACTTCGAACCGTCGAGCCCGACGAGGACCACCTCTACCTCCCATCATTGCGGAGTAGTTCAAGCTTTAATTCGGATGACGAGTCCGAGCACGACACAACCCCTCTGTCTGAGCCCTTGTCCCCTCACCATATCATGTCATTACTCCCATTCGCAGAAGGCGATGGTGAGTCATCACATCTAGCGGCTGACCTGACTGTTCCGAGCCTCGCTGCTGGCAGCGAGGGTAGCCCCCGGAACGGTTATATGGCGCTGCTCGATGTTAGGCGTGCGGTGATTGATTGGACTGAGGCCGTTGAAGATGCTGACGTCGACACCGACGTGGAAGAGCAAGAAGGCGAGGCATCTCTTTCGACCGTTGAGCACCATGATTCCATAGCCGAGCCCGAGCACGAGGAGGCTGCTGAGGGCGACACCACCTACGTCGAAAGCGATGTACTTGGTATGAGCATGATGCTGGTGGGACTGTTGGACGAGATTGAAGAGGAGGAACCGGTGATGTGGGGCGTGGAGGATATTACAATGGGAGGGAGCATTGAAGGCACTGGGGAGGTTGTTACGGACGAGATGGACGTTGAGTACTGCCTCCTTTTCGACGCCGATTTGGATGCCGAAGCACAAGAACCATCCCAGAACGATGAAGCCACACCTGTCGGTCTAGTACGTAACGTCGTCGAGGACATCGAGACCCCATTAGAGGACGTTCACGAGGAGGTGGAGGAGGCGATGCAAGTGAATATCATCGGGCAGGAGCCGGAGATGCTCGCAAATCACTCCATCGTTGAAGATAATCCCAGCTCATCCATATCCATATCCACGAGCACAAGCAACGACTCCTTCTCGCTCACACTCCCAGAAGCTTTTGCCAACGATCTCCTCGTACATGCCGAGGTGCCACTGGGTAACGTTCTCTTGGATGATGATGAGGAGGAAAGAGAGAATGTGTTGTATGTGATGCCCGACCCTTCTACGGCCTCCCTCGAAGTCGATGAGGAGTCATCCGCCGACTTCTTTGCGACGACGGGTACAACGTATGGGTCGGAATCGAACAGCGATGAGTGGATGAGCGGGCTCCAGAACGATGGCGACGGAACAGACGCGAAGGATAGCCAAGCGGATATTTCGACCGCCATCATGGTGGCTCCCATCCCCGAGCCTACAGAGACGTCTGTAGATTCGCCAGCCAGGTGCCGAACTCCATCGCAAAGCCTCGATGCCACAGCCGAAGAAGAATTCACCCTTGGTCGTCCCTCAACCAGCGAACTCCCACCCATGACGCCAGTCCGCCAGCCCTACCCTCCTGGATTCAATATCATTTCTCCCTCGCCCCCTACCATGCCGATGATGACCCCGCCACCTGGTACGCACAGGTTCCCTGCATTCCTGGACTCCATACCGTCGCCTTTGCCCTCGCCTTCCTCTTCTCCGTCACCTGCACCTTCTCGCCGCGCGTACGATCCCGGGGATCCGGACACCTCGCTTGACATGGACGATATCTTGCTCGCATGCGAAGGGTACGAGAATCTGATGGATGCCGTGGATGATTGGCCAACGGAACCTGACGTCGCGGAGGACTGGGAAAATACCCCGGCGAGTCTTGCCAATCTCGAGGAGATGCGTGTGCGACGGGTCCAGAAGTTACGTGTGGAAGAAGAGCAGGATTGGCGAGAGAAGTTGCGGATGAGGCGGCGTCGCAGGCGCTGAGTGTTGATGATAAGTTATCGGTATAGGACCCAAGAACCGTCACCGCGCCGCTCGATATGGTACCCAGGTCAGAGTTGAGAGTTCCACGGTTATTGTAGTCATCATTATATCCGGTTTTTTCTTTATTATTTCTCCTCCTCTTTTTCTCTGTCTTTTTCTTGTCTCTCGATCGTATCGTATAGCCCATCTAAAGAAGGATGAAATATATCCAGAATTATGATTCACCGGTGCTGCATTCGTCAAGTGGGGTTACGTACCCAGCAAAAGATAACATGGACTTCCTCGCGCACGCTATGCTCTGCTGAAGCCTGGTCAACCCGGGAATCGTGGGTGAAAACAAACTGACGTACCAGAAATCCGCAGTTCACAGTAACTATTGATCCTCATCCTCCCCTCATGTTCGGAGCGTCCCAGAACATCTCTTAGTATCCGAGCATCCCATCTGAGGTCCGAGTCGTCAGAGTCGTGCGGGGTAGTACAGCCCCACCCCTGCATCAGTTACACGAGGGCTGCAGGTCCTTCTGTATCTTTCTCCTCTATAGTTTTAAGCATCAGCGCTCGGAACGACAAAGAGGCTAGGGAGTTAGTGTGGGCCCCATACGAAAATGTACATTCGAAGACGGCGAGTTCAAGGCTTTTTATCTTCCGGAATCGCAATTGTCATATCAAATGTATCATGCGCCTAGCCAATAAAACTCTTAGAAACATTGGACGTGGTCGAAGCAGGAAAAACTCACCATATCCTGATCCCAAGCACGAACGGTCAGACTCTGCTTGTTGGAGGTTCAGCCGGCGCGGCCGTGAGTGCGGGATTCGAGGCAGTGATGTATTCAGAGAGTCCATTATTGGGCCATAGCGGTGTCTAAGATAGAATCCGAGACCATGTACGATGCGTACTGGCCGAAATATAAAGGTAGTGGTTATGGGCAGAAGACCAGCGCAGTGGAGTGTACGCGCATTCGTTCGGCCAATTCCGGGCCGCCCAGGCCTCTTTGAACTGCAGGTCCATGTCAAACAGTTGTTCAAAACCGGTACCGTGCAGTACCGTGCAGATCAAGACCGTCAAGTGCAGGTTCCTTCGACTTGTATCCTTGCAACAGTCTCTCGTTCAGCTGTTGACTTGCTATGAGATCTCATTTAATTCTCGCAGAACGCCCAAGACATTGGTTTTAAAATCCCCACACAGAGCTAGCTTTCAAAATGGGTTGAAAATTCAAAATGGGCTTGCCGCTCAATTGCCGCTTCACGAAGGCTTCAAGGCCCAGGTATCTTTGCGATAGAGTCGAATCATCATTGTCAGGAGGGGAGAAACAGCGTTTAGTCGCGTGAGTCCTTGTTGACTACTTTTCATCGTTTGACTCGGATCTCGTCAAACTTACTATGTCTTGGCTAGCTCGAGGACGTTCATGCGGGTCAACTCTGGGAAAGTCAAATTTGTCGCTGTCGATGAGCCCAGTTCTGCCCTCGACCCAGAAGGAGAAGCCCAGCTCTTCGATCGACTCATCACCGCGCGGGTGGGCAAGACGATGGTGTTTGTGACTCATCGATTTGGACATCTGACGAAGCACGCCGATCTGATCATGTACGTGCACAAGCGCGGACCAAGTACCTCCTTTGCTGAGTGTTCTTTGACGACAGATGCATGAAGGAGGGCGTTATCGCTGAATCCGGATCCCACGAAGATCTGCTGAAACTCGATGGCGAATACGCCAAGTTATACCAGATACAGGCCGCCGCCTTTACTTCTGGAAAGAAATAGAAAGGTACGTCGTCTTGCATAGCGCGATTTCATCCAAGCTCAGTGAACGTTCCACAGGCTTCGTATCTTGGAAGCGGATAGTTCGAGAGCCATCGTTAAAATGCGGTACAATATAAGTGATTTATCTTTCACCGTTATTCCGCATTTTGCGCAGTTGGGTCGTAGAGACCGACCGAGCATGTCTTTCACTGGCTTTGGTAATGATTAATCGATTGATATATGGAATGAGGTTTTCGTCCAACTTCCTGATCAATGATTGTGCCAATTTCGACATCGATCTTGACTCAGTCTTCAGACGCCCTAGGACACCGGCATGTCGACGTATCCGAGATCCTTCTCATCGCAGATCGTATAAAGGAGGGGACAGGGGCCGAAATATATCAGAGTGCTCCACTCTATTTTTGTAAGCCTTCTGCCTAACCGGGGTATAGGATCCTGCATCTGTGTGGGTGGATACCTACTGCGATAACGCATCCAGAGACTCCTCCTACTCACCTCCTATGGGGGCCATAGTCTCGAGCCTGGCCTTCCGCGAATACTGTTACACCGTAAAGTCGATATTGTCCTAATTAAACTGCGATTCGATTAATCGAACTTGACTGTGACGCCTTCAAGTCAACGAATGTGCATGACCTGAGAAAAAGCACCCTCTTTCTCCATCATCTGATAATCCACAGCATCATGCATGCGGCCTGCCCTTGTGCGGGCGTCGATGCGACATCGGTCGGAAGCCGCTCGGGCGTTTTACATCTGATTCTCGCGCGGGCAGATAAGACTCATGGCTTTGGGCAGCCGACGTATAGAACATGTTTCCATGTAAAATGTTGGTAAAATGGCCCAGGCTAAACCCAGTAGTTACCCGTTTGTCAATGTAGACCTGGAAGCTCCCTCACTGCTCATCCGTATCGGGGGCATAGCTCAGTTGGGAGAGCAGCAGACTGAAGTTCACCTCTTGGTAACCAGTTCTTCTGAAGGTCCCGCGTTCAATCCGCGGTGCCCCCATCTGCAGCTCACTACTCAGGATTTTGTTTTGGTGGTTTTCCGAAGTGGATGATAGGGCAAAATGCTGATATCAATATCATCACTGTCCAGTACATATCTATAAATCAGCAAGCAGATCCCTACAGAACGAAATCCAGCCCTCGAAAGTGTCAAATATTAAACATATAGTGGAGATCATGGGATGTATACGCATTCATTAACATAATAATTTTACTTGACTTGATCCCCATGAAAACGCCTGCTCGAAGCGGACTTGTCGCAGCTTCTATATCATCACACCGAACTGCAACTTCCCCAGGCGCCGCCACAGCCTGCGCAAGAATACGAAATTCAGAACGTGCTTCGGCGCAGTCGATTGTCATCGTCCGACTCGGAGTCACCCCTCAATTTGGATATCCAAACTCAAAGCCCTTCCTCACGTGCGCCAGCGCCCGTCCACGAGATACCCATTGACAGAGGCTAAGGATACTGGCCCTCGATATGCTTTCGTGTGAAGCCCCTCTGTAGACTGTAGAAGCTATTTCGACGGTGCTGATCTCAATATTAATAATTAAATTACACATTCTCGAGCTTCAGGGGTGGAATCTAAGTCTAAATCTATCAAGTCCCTCTACCCACCCATGCGCCCCACCTCCTCTCTATGTCCCCCCTCTATGTATCCCCTTGCCCTCAAATCCCCAACGCCTCCCTCTTCCCCTCAATCTCATCCCTCAACATACTCACCCGACTATCCAACCGACTGCTCAAATCCACACTACTCCCCGCAAGCGCCATCGCCGCATCCAATTTCTTCCCCGCCGCCTTCGTCGCCCGATCCCACTCCGTCAGGCGCTTCACCGCTTCGTGTACACCTCCTCCTCCTCCTCCTGCTCCACCTCCTGCCCCTCCAGTGAATCCTCCAACAGCCCCAAACCCACCCGCCCCAAACCGCGCCTCCTCCTCCTTAGCCTCTACTTCCTTAAGATCGAGCACGGCAAGTTCGAACATAGCTACCCCACCCACCCACGTGCTCACCCGCACCTTGGGGTGCAGCGCACACGCAGCCTTGAGGGAGACTCTTGACGCCGTGTACGCGCCCGCTGTGCGCTCGCAGATCCCGACGAGGAGGTGTCGCACTGCGAGCTCGTCTGGTGTGTCTAGGTCCAAGGGGGCTTCCTCTCCCTCTCCCCCTTCCTGATCCTTGGACCGGCGGGACCGCGTGGAATCGAGGGACGCAGATTTCCGCGGCGCGTGGAGGTTCGCGGAGGGCGGCATGGGCTGCAGCGCATGCGAAAATCCAAACACCGCTCTCGGCGTTCTCGCGCGCGGGGTCGTGGTGGGTGTTGGGGTGAGTGGTGCGGTGGCGGTGATGGGGGGGAGCGCGGTGGAAGGAGGAAGGGGCGGGGTGAGGGCGGACCATTCGCGGATGTGTGATAGGGCGAGGCGGCGCTCGATCCGGGCGTGTGTGTTCCAGACTGTTTTCGTGCGTTAGTTTGGTTTGGGGAAAGGGAAAGGAGGGGGGGAGGGAGGGGAGAAGGGAAAGGACGCACAAACACCGAGCTCCTCGGCAAGACTAATCTTAATCGCCTCCGCATACCGCCCCTCATCCCCTCCTCTCCTCCTCTGCTTCTCCTTGTAAAACTCCACTGTCTCCACACGTCAGTCCTCTGTACCCATACGAAAAGAGAGGACGCACGTTTCTTCTTGATCAGGACCTCGGTGGGCAGATCCTTCCCGCTGATCTTCTTCTTATCGATCAAGTTGGGGACGACGTCGAGCAGGGCCTGGGCTTTGGAGGTGTTGCCGAGGGAGATGTAGCACCCCGCCGCGAGGAAGTAGTACGTGCCGTGGCTCCTGCACCCGCGCGTGAGTAGTATAACAGACACGGGGAAAGGGAACGCACCAGGAATTAAGCTCCGTAACCTTGATAAACATATCCGCCGCCTCCTGATACCTCCTCTGCCCCAACAACGTCCACGCCAGCTCGAATACCAGCTACAAAAACACGCCCATCAGAACCCCCATAACGAAACACAAAAGAGAGGAGGGGGTAGGAGGGGATACTCACGAGTGTATCAGCCTGCGCAAAGGAGTGCGGCCGTTCAGGACGGAGCCCATCGCGCAGGACGCGTATGGCGCCTTCGGGGTCGTAGGACATGCGCAGAATCTTAGCCTGTCGGGGGTAGCGTTATATATGAGTACAAGGAATGTGGATTTGGAAGGGTGATGGGGACGCACGCGGTTGAGGATCCAAAGCGCGCCTTCTGGGTACCGCGATTCGATGCTACAAGCGTTGTGTGCTCGTTAGTTCTCGAGCTCGAGGAAATGGGTGGAGGAGAAGGGAAGAGATACGTACCTGTCGACGATGGCTTTGTATTGCTTGATGATATGCGCCTCGTCGGCCTGATACCCTGCCAGCAGGAGTACGACGCCATAGTACGTCATCAAGACAAGACCCGCAAAGACGCTGTGGACGTCCTTTTTGGAGGCGGAGACGGCGAGAGCGCGGAGGGCGAGTTTTCGGTCGTGTTTGAACCCGAGGAAGCCGACGATGCCCCTGTGGGTGGGTAAGGTTGGGGGCAGGAGGTGAAAAAGGGTTGGGCTTACTGGACTTTTTTGGGGAGGAGGGAAAAGACGAGGTTGAAGAGACCGAACCCGAACGCTGTGCCTGCTACGATGAGTTCCTCTACGGGACCGTCTGGTGGGTGATCTTCGCCTGCGGGTAAGCTTGTACTTGAACTGGCTGGGTTGGGTACGGACAGTGTCGTGGAGGAGGAGGACGCGGAGCCTGTGAGGCGGGCGAAGAGGGATCGCGAGGGCGCGGGTGTGGATGAGGGAGCGGAATGGAGGGAGGGGTTGGATGATTTGCGGGAGGGCGCGGGGGTCGTGGAGGGGGTCGTGTATGCGTCTAGGCCGTTGGGGAACACAGTTTTGAACAGTCTGTTTTAGGGAGGAAGGTGGGTGGTTAGTGGAATAGGAGGAGAGATAAAGATAGGGACGTACTTTGAGAATTTGGTATGGGCGCTGTTGAGGGAGTACATGCACTGGAGGTAGCCCATGTAGGATTCGCTGAGGGCGTTGGTGAGGCCCAGGAGAACGACAGCGTCCGCGTTGAGGATCTCCCATTCGAGCCCGGGCGGGAATCGTTGGTTCGCACGGCCCTTGGGCGCTTTGGTCTCGCGGCGGGCGCCGGCCTCGGAGAGTGTCAGGCAGCGGGTTGCTTCCGCCATTAGGCCAGACTATGGTGGTGGTAAGGCGTGAGTGGGACAGAGAGGGAAAGGGAGGAGAGACGGACCTCCATGCCTAGGGCGGCCTCCATGAATGCGCATACGCCTTGGCCCAAGAGGTGGAATGGGTCCTCTTTGCCGGAGAAGTGCGTCTTGGCTCTGACGAGGTCGTTGCAGAACAGGTAGTCGAAGCCGCGCGTGGCAGAGACGAGCAGTTCTGCGCTGTCTCCGTTGTCGTTCGGGTTCGTCATAATGATAGTAGTGGGGAAAGGATGCAAAAGAAATGGGAATGAAACGAAACGAAAATGAATCTAGACCTCTATAGAGCAGGGGCTGAACTTGATCGCGTCGGATCGGCTGGCGGGCGGTGTGAGTGACGACTCCTCCAGGGCCCGTCATCAGTTCCCACGCTCTCGGCGTTTCAGCCTCGATCAGCGTAATTTCATAGTTGGTCGCTGGCCATGACGCTGACCTCTGTGAACCTCGCCAACCTCCGCAAAGTCAAGAACACCGTCATCGGCAACCCCTCCGCCAAGCTCCAGCTCGCACGCGATGTCTTCTTCATCGGCAAGTGAGTCGTCTCCGCCCTAAGCTCATGTACGTGTGCTCAACCTAGCGAAAGCCTGATTGACTGCCTGAACTACCCTAAAACACCGACCCCGCACGATCCACGCGCCTCGCCCAACGATATCCGCATTGAAGCTGCCCACGTCATCGCCTCTCTCTCCTATGGTACCTTCCCTCCTCCCCCTAGTACTAGTACCCATCTAACCAAACCACACACAGGCTCCGACGAGGCCCTCCTCTCCCTCCTCCGCGCAAACGCACCCCGCGCCTTCCTCTACGCCATCGCCCACTTCACGCCTGACGACCCCCCGGCCCTCCGCTCGGCCTTTGCCCGTGCCCTCCGCGCGCTCACTGTCTCCATCGCAGACGTCGTCGGGCCCTCCCAGTGGGGTCTCGGTCCCGAATCCAGTATTGCAAAGGACGACGCTAAAGACGCACTCGAGTTTCTATTCCAGGTACCCCTCTCCTCTCCCTCATCCCTATTCACAGACTCATCTAACCCTAACCCCACCCACAGCTCGACACGCTCGACACCCTCCTCCCCCTCCTCTCCCCCTCCCCCACCCCCTCCCCGTCCTCGTCGTCTACCCAGATATCCACCTCGATAGCCCAGCTCCTCACCTCCGCCATACGCGCCCGCCCGCACCGCACCGCCGTCGCAGAATGGCTGCCTCCCGCGGACCGCGCCAGCGCCAAGGCCAAGGACACCCATAAGACGCGTCGCGGGTGGGAGAAGGCTAGTTCGACTATACTTTCTGGAGTGGGGCCTGGGAGGATGGGGGGGTGGGTCGCGAGGGCGCTACTTGGGTTGGTAGGGAGTCGCGACGTTAAGGTCTGTTCCCTTTCCCTCTCTCTGTCTTGGTCCTTGGCTTTTACTCATTGTCATATATACGGTGTAGCTACAAGAAGCGGCACTAACGGCCCTCGCCTCTCTCACAAAAGAAAACCCAGACCTAGCAAGCGCCCTCTCCAAACCCAACCCCGCCACCCATGACCGTACGTCTCTCCCAATAAAACAACCATAACCCATCTAATTCCAACAACAGATACCCCCACCCCCTTAAACTCCCTCCTCACCCTAACCCAATCCCGCACCCCCGACGTCCAGCTCGCCGCCTGCCTTTGCCTCGCGCACCTCCTCCGCGCGCTCCCTCGTGGGGCAGGGGGAGGGGGAGGGGGAGCAGGGGAGGAAGGGGGGGCACAGGGAGGGGCGGCGAGGATGGTGAT